TAACAGAATATACAATATTCAATTGTATAGTAAATGTATTAGTTATTCACCACTGAAATTCTTTCACATACCTGATCAATCTACTACCGTTTGTATTATTGAGATTATGAATTGATCCAAGGTTTGTATCTCAATATACATTGAGTAATCTCTACAATTACCATAGTGATTATTTTATAGAATATGTACACTAGTCAATAGCTCCGAGAGGAGATTTCTGAGGTTGTAGTAAGAAGCTATGACTTGTAAAGGTTAATTATATTTAGTGTGAGAAAGGTAACCACGAAAAACAATGGAAGATAGTCACTCAGTATTATGAATAGATTGAAATACACTGTTGGGTTTTTTATGGTTCAGTGATCTAGAGAATAGGTGTGTGGATGTGAAACAAAAGATTCTAGGTTTGATCAACTGTGATTATGTTTTGAATGTATACTAGTAAGGAGTAATACAGTGCAACATGGTTTTTGAAGGTTGTCTAGATTACGTCAGCTCGTGATCTCAATAACATTCAGTAATATTCATAGCCTTCATAATGACCACTGTTTGTCTATTTCTGTGATAAGCAATACACACAGTGGATAGTTATTGTATTTGTCATAATTATAATAATATTCAGCCTAAATATTGCATTAAAAATAGAGAAGAAAGATCTATTACTCATAGAATCAGTATAGGGTTGTGGAGATTGCCCAATAAGTCGATGGAGCTATGTAGGTCAACGTGCTGTAAACTCGACATTTTGACGGAGAGTGTGGTACAGACTGCATAAAAGAAAAAATTGGCACAGTGATCAGCGCCACTGCAAGAACAGCTCCTCTAAACAGGGGACAAGTGTGGTGTGTGCTACTGATATGGACAGACATAAGTAGTATGTATCATCGATCAAAAGTGAAATGTCTGGTGGCAGAAGATTAAGAAAGATCGAAGAAAAGAGAACGAGAACACAGAGAATGATTAGTGTGGAAATGAAGGAATAGTCAAGTTTGAGACGATTGATGGACATTGTGCAAATGAAGTATTTACTGTGTGGTTCTGAGATTTTACTAAACGATTCTGTAATTACATGTTGAAATACATTTGACTGTCCCTGACTGGTGTTCTCGTTCACTACAATAACACTAAATACAGTGCTATCCAATTTTCAAATTGTGAACTGACTTGACAACTAGACATTTGATCAACCAAACGTTTATGTGTTAACTTTCATACAACAAACGTTACCGTTTATACTTAAACTACAGTCATTTAGATTAAACATGTAACTTTCATTTTAATGTGAAGCAAAGAAATAAAGAACTTGGCTTTTATCATGAGACATCATAACTCTTCTAAATGAAGACGTTCTAACTCTTAGGGCAGAGTTTAAATGGCTTGAATTATTTTTTTTCTAGTTAGCATTTTTTCTAGCGAATTAGTTTTATGCGAGATGGGGTCACTAACCCCATGCCCAACTTTCCTCCTTTTCTGGACTTGGAACTGGCAATAGCCCCAAAGGGGCTCCAGGTGGGGAAAACATTACGCCGAGACAGACATGAGAAGAGTGAACAACAATTGGACAAAACTAGAAAGGAATGCTCAGGACAGAGTGGGTTGGAGAATGTTGATCGGCTGCCTATGCTTTACTGAGAGTGACAGGCATAAATAAGTAAGTAATAGAAGAATAAGTTGTTGTTAATAGTTCTTGGACAAATCGATCGAATTATATCTTTGAATTGTGATTGATAGTGGAATACAGATTGTGTATTTTGTTCTATTTATGATTTGCTTTATGGATATGTGTGTCATCATTTATCCATACTCAAACTAGCAAGTTGATTGTTCAGGAATCTCACTGAATGTTGAGGCTGAATAATTTGACTTTACCTATGAGATTGATGATATTCAGATATTCAAGTAAGGGGCCGTAATCGCCATAAACGATATACTCCGTCAATAGTTATTCATTATTTTACAAGAGATCTATACTTTCAACTAAAATATCAACAGTTACAGAAAATCGGATAAATTCACTTGAACTCTTTCATAACTAAAGCTTATTCTACGTACGATCAGAGAAGGGTTTTTGTGAATATCATAGTAATTTAATAGTTGGATTCATGAGTCATTTGAAGCTAGGTCAACATGGAAAACCTTGAAGGGCGTTTCATCCTAGTATGGGACCGCTCAATAGTGCGCATACACGGTCGTGCTTCGCGAGATCCGAACCCAGAACATTTCGGACTCGAGCGCGAACGCTTAACCACTAGACCACTGAGCCGGCTAGTATCCGACGGTGTTAATGTCTAACTTCAATTGATCTACGAAATTGTGCCACTGTCCACCATTGTCTTCAGTGAGTTACTATCTAACAACAGACACGGTTGAACTCCACTGGTCACTGCTTCGCACGAGAACTCCAGGAAATACCTCATGGAGACAGTCCCTAGTGAGTATATGATGATTATAATCAGGGAAGGGTGTTTGTGGATATTATAGTAATTTAATAGTTGAATTCATGAATCATAGTGGTCTAGCTTCAACTGACTCATGAATTCAACTATTAGATTATTCTAGATAGTTTTGCTAGATCCATAACAAATAGTATTCATTGACATTACTGATGTGTTCGTTTATAGAGTCTATGTTGCATTCACATTATCTTTAGCCTATGAATTTATTAAATGGTACCTCTTTTAGGAAATATTGTGGTTGGCTGCTCAAGCGCTTGAGTGATCTGTTTCACAGATTTGTAAATATTGCTTAGAAAGATGCCAAAGCAAGACCAGTCTGTCTACAATTGAAGAACGTCTGGAAGTCAAAACAACTGCCAACCAACACCAATGTCAGAATTTTCAATACAAATGCCAAGAGAATTCTACTGCATGGGGCGGAAACTTGGAGAACGCTGAAAGCCGTCATCCAGAAGATACAAGTGTTTATTAACAGTGGTCTACGCGAAATATTTTGGATCTGTTGGCCAGACACTATCAACAACAATCTACTATGGGAGAGAACAAATCAGATTCGAGTGGAGGAGGAGATCATCAAGAAGTGCTGGTATTGGATAGAACGCATGCTGAGGAAACCACCTAACTGCGTCACAAGGCAAGACCTCACATGGAATCCTCAATGCCAAAGAAGAAGAGAAAGACCAAAGAACACATTAAGCGGAGAAATGGAGACAGACATGAGAAAAATGAACAGCAACTGAATAAAACTAGAAAGGAAGGCGGAGGACACAGTGGTTTGGAGAATGTTGGTCAGTGGCCTATGCTCCATTGGGGGGTAACAAGCGTAAATAAGTAAGTGAGTAATTAACCTTTTATAAATGTTTAACACAAAAAGAACGAGTTCTTATAAAAGTAATTTGAAAAAATGTATGTATTCACAACTATATGTATTAGTCACACTGAATATGATTAACGGTGGTTTGTAGGTAATTAATCAAATAGATTGTATATATTCAATTGGATGACATTGCACAATTATGTAAACTTTTCAATAGCGATCTGGGTAATGTGTGTCAATATGAGACTATATATAATGTTATCATGAAAAATTTGTATTCTTTATCTATTCAAGTGTTGCTCTTTTTGTCAGTCAAAGGAGCGCGAATCATCCTTGACGTGATGGTCGGGCTTGCCCATCATGATGAAGCGATCGAGCTATACTGGCTGGAACAACCGTTCCTTAAGGTCCTACCATGTCAGACAGGTCGGTTGAAGAGCGGTAAGACTAAAAGCAACAAACCTAAGGTTCGAAGGCGAAGTCGTACTGCTGACTGTACAGAGGTGTGACAGCAGTGAGGTGTTTCCTTCAGACAACCAGCATGACAGCGATTCTGCCTTCCCACAAGGAGGGATAGGGTTAGAAAAGGTCGACCCTAAAAATGTACACCTCGCCTTATCCCACGGATATCTGTCTCCGGTGGTAAGGTCTCAACAAGTATGGAGCTAACACAAAAATTACCCATAAAAAGGTCGTGTGTGACCGACCTAAAGCGGTTGTCCATTGAGCACTGCGGCCACGCTCTCAGGTCACTAAGACCCCTTCTAATCCAATTTCCTTTTCAGGTACCTCCAGAAGAACCCTTTCACGATGTGGGCAACCGGGAAGTGATAACCGCTTTCATACGTCTAACAGCACTTAAGACTGACTACTATATTAATGAATCGCTCACAGTATAGGTCATAGATAAACAAACTGTGATATCTAACTATGTATATCTACCATTTCTTTAATAGGTTTTAGGATTAAATAGAAAGGAGATTATAACTGTAAGCAACGTAAAGAAATGCAGTATTACGGTAACCGGTAACCAACAATAGGTTCATACGCTATTTGTTTCTTCAGAATCCTGAAGTCCATGTACACTACTGGTTTGGAATGATGGTTTTCCAACTCCTTTAGATGAATCCTCTGTATTTACCAACCTAGTTAAATCACCGATATTCCCTTTTCGTCCTCTCAATTTCGTAAGCAACACCCCTACCACGCTAAGGCGGTGAGTAGGACTTCCTTGCAAGTGGCCGTATACCCGTGACGATATAAGAGCATTTCGACGGGGAGGGCGGACTCGGTGAGACTGTTATTTATGGACGACTTTTGAGCGACGTTAAATTGTTCTTGAGAATATTCACATACTAACTAGGACCTATAAGGGTTATAAACCATGATGAGGAACTAGAAATAAGATTTACTGTTGATGGTTAAGGGTTAGGAATTAGATTTATGGTTTTCATGACGAACTGATATCAGCTAAAATTTCGAAAACTCTCTTTAACCAAATGGATGAATCAATTTCATGCCAAAATCCAAGACCTTTTATCTTATATCTGATTGCATCATCCATAAATTATAGTCTCGCCATGAACTCTCTTCCCTCTCGGCCATATCAAGGCATTTGAGGACAAATGCTTAGCCCGATATGATAAGAACATGCAGCCTTCTAATATGAAATGTCATCATACAATGAAATGTAAGATGATTGATGATGATCATCAAACTAAAATAAGTTTAATTCATTAAAGATTATTATTATCAAATCAAAACACATTTCATTAATCATCAATGAAAAGAAACCGTTCTAAAGAATTCTAATGTTTTCAAATGGTTATTAGTCTTCATCACCATCATCGTCTTCATCTTCTCATTTGAAACATAATATTATTATTAGATTGAATACCGGCATACTGCAATTGCAATCAGAACAGAACCGATTACAGTGTAATATGCCCTCTCCATTGTAGCACCTGAAGATAATAATCAAACATGATAAGTCAACGATTGTTTTAAATGTTTAAAATTATTATCATTTGTAATAGTTGAAGATTAATCTTAGATGAGATTCTGGTGAATGAATAACAAGGAACACAAGATATCTATTCCATTATAATATGTGGCTCTTGGTGGTACATCTGGACGATCGTTCAGGTGGCCTGATCTCATAATATCTCCTCACTTAAACTATATTTATTAGCGTATCACTGATCCAATTGAAAATATTCTTCAGCCTATGGCTAGAGTTTGTGACTGATGAAGTTCGGATAAGTCGGAAAGTGAAAGTATCAAGTTAAGATGATCCAATGGTTTTAATGGCACCTATTGCCTGGTTACGATTTGTGTAGGTATCTTTGGTAAGCACTCCTTTATAGTTTTATCTTAAGACAAAATGACTGTTCACTGATCTCTGTTTTCCAATTTTACTCTGACTGAGATCAATCTCTAACGAGTACAACATACAAATAAGATCAATCTACAAAAATACCCATTCATTTTATTTTCAGTTTGTTTCGACATCTTTCATCAGTGATAAAACTAAAGTGATATACGTTCATCCATATATTATTTCACTGTTTATTTTTATTCTATTAAGAAACTTTCTATTATGTAATTGCAATAGTTGAGATCATGAGTCAACCTCAGCTAGAATACCATGAGAAACCTGGAAGTCCTGAACGGTCGTTTCGTCCTATTGTGGGACTCCCCCTTGACAGTGCGCATCCACAATTCCGCTTCGCGAGATTCAAACACAGGACCTATCGGTCTCGCGCGCGACCACTTAACCACTAGACCATTGAGCCGACTGGTATCTAACAGTGTTAATGTCTAATTTCAACTAATCCACGAAGTTGAGTGACGCATCCACCGTTGTTTTCAGTGAGTCATTATCTCACAACAGACCAGTTTAAACTAAATACTCCACTGCTTCTCACTAGAACTCCAGGCTATACCTCTTGAAGCCAGTTACTAGTGAGCATATACTCCTTTATGTGTTCTAATTTATACTGGGTGAAAATAGAAACAAAATGAATTTTGGTAGAATACATGCAGAGGTTAGCTCACCAGACATAGGTCTTCTTGCTGCTTTAAAGAATTATTTTATAGATAATAAAATCAATTAGTTTCATAATGCGATTACTTTGAATTACTTATTTACTTGCTTACGCTTGTTACTCTTCATGGAGAAGCATAGGCCTCCCATTTTGCAATACACCTAATATAAATTTATTTAGTTGATAGTAAGTACTCCTCCACCAGAAGTAACAGGCGTAAGTAAGTAAGTACTAATGTAATGAAAGCAAGAAAATATGTTTTCTGTCGTATCTAGAAGAATTCCGGAAAAAACTATGATTTACATTGTTGAGTAGAAGCTCTAAAGATGCTATTTTTAAATGATTTTCTTTCAGTGAATAATTTAATAATCGAATTCATGAGTCAATTATCATGGAAAACCTGGAAGCACTGGACAACCATTTCGTCCTAGTATAGGACTCCTCAGCAGTGTACATTTCAGGTTTTCCGTGGTGGTCTAGCTATAATTTATTCATGAATTCAGCGAATAAATACTATAATATCCACAAAATTCCCTCATGTATATCCTCCTGTACTACACTGTGCCTTTATAACTAAAATGTATCTTTTATACACATAGTTCCTTTTGTAACTTCCCACGAGTATATAGCCATTGTCAGGGAAGTCCTTATCACTCTATTCTCGTGTTGGAAGTTGTGTTTAGAAAATTAAGAGGACGAATAGTGAATGTCCGGTGCTTTAGCCGTGTTAGGTGGATACGGCGGATCTATCTAGGAGAGTTGAAAATCCATTATTCCAAACCAATGGTGTACATCGTCTCCAGAATCCTGAAAGAACAAATAGTGTATGAATCTATTGTTGGTCACTATCTATCATGGGATTGCACCTTCTTAGGGAGTGGCCTCTTAAGAAAATCACCTATTTCGGTTTAATCACCTGTACTGTATTCTATCCCTTTCAGTGTGGTGCCTATCTATTCGGTGCCTCTTTATACTAATGTAAGGTAAGTAAGTAAGTAAGTATTACATGTTTACATGGATTACACATGAGGAATGATTTCATTAAAAGAAAATGAAAACTGTATTGATACTTTTCAGTTACATTTTCTTTTAAACTAATCAAGAAACTCTGTAATTACACTCACTTGTTGTTGCTTATTTCAAATAATTCAACAGAGAATAGAAATAACAAAAAAAACATTTAAGATATGATTAGAGTTATATAGAACTTCAAGAACTTCAAGACAGAAACCGTCAACATTATTAATTATTAAAGTAATGTTATATAATTGTCGGCTATAGATTAGAGTGAAACAGGACAAACCAGCTTCCAACTGTGAAGACAATCAGAAAAAGACATTAGAAGTGAATAGGATATACATTACAGAAATCACCAAAACTGTATCCTGAGTCAAGTGCTAACTTGGAATCCTGAAGGGAAACTGAAAAGCGTAGAGCTGAGGAACACACTACGTTGGGAATTGGATACAAGCAAAAGTAAGATCAATAGCAAGTGGAAAGAATTGTCCAGGACAGAGTTCGATAAAGAATGCTGGTAGGCAGCCTATACTCCTCTACGAGGGCTGATAAGCGTAAGTAACTAAGTAAGTATATATCAAATAATAAGTATTGAAATTACTGATTATAAGTTTAACTGTAATCATTCTAAGCTAATTATCATAGTGAAAGTGATATTTAAACCAAAAAAATAATAACTGAACATTTATTACAAACAACTAGGTATTTCAATATAAGTCAATTATGAATGATAAATAAGTTCATGGTTTGTACTACTTATTCCGACAGACATAAGTAGTATGTAATACCAATCAGAAGTGGAAAACTTGAAAGAAGAAAGCTATAATGGTCGACTTGAAGAAAACAGAAACCGATATACGAAAGAATTATGACTTGTAAGAATCATACAGAATGTGAAAGACAAACAATGCAAGTTTCCTAATGAAGTCATTCAATGTATTATGGTTTTAGTTGCCCCATATTGAAAGTTTATCAAGTAATGAATATAGAAACAAAAATATAAACACTTACTCATCTTTGGAGCTGATGAACAGAAAAACAGTACATTTACGATTTGTGAAACAATAAATTAGTTCTTTAAAGGTGGTTTTATTGAAGCTGTCCAATCTGGCAACTCAATAAGTGTTTCTCATAAACGATAATGACTAATCTGTATTATTAGTAGTGTTGGATGTTGAATTTCAGTAGTTAAGGAAACTTAACATAATGGACATTCTAACATATTATAATGAAGGATTATAGACTGTTTTGAATGATCCAACATGATGTAATGATAAGTTGTAACTTATCTGTTGGAAAACATTGTCACACAAAAAAATAATACAACTCACTTGTGTTAGTTGTCTCTATTTTTTGAGAAGGAAACAGTATAATCACATATTAGTCATTAAATCTTATCAGATATTATTAGTAGATTCAAGAATAATCTATTCAAGGGTTCCACAAATATGATATGAAGGTATAGTATGTGCAACTGATATTGATAGATATAAGTAGTATGTATCATCGGTCAAAAGTGAAATGTCTGGTGGCAGAAGATTAAGAAAGATCGAAGAAAAGAGAACGAGAACACAGAGGATGATTAGTTTGGAAATGAAGGAATAGTCAAGTTTGAGACGACTGATGGACATTTTACAAACGAAGTATTTACTGTGTGGTTCTGAGATTTTACTAAGCGATTCTGTAATTTCGTGTTGAAATGCATTCGACCATCCATTCGATCATCTCGTTCACTACATTTGATGTCGCTGCCGACTAGGAGGGAGGGAGTGTGCCGTCCTGAGGACATCGTTGCAGAGCGGGAGCTGAGATGCCCAGTTGTAGCAGTCTGGTACGGGAAGATAGCGTCGAGTGAAGTGTTCGAGAGAGGTGGCGTATTCTGTGATGGATGCTGTAGACGGGGAGGAGTGGTGGGACTTACAGCTGCTGGGCAGACATTTGATGTAGATGGCTCACCGGGTTGCTGGTGCACAGGCGTTGAACATCCGAGGTGCTGGGTGTATGTCGTATTTTTATAGCCCAACAAGTCGATGAGGTTATGTAGGCCAATACACCGCATTTCGACGAAGAGCGCGACGCAGACTGCATAAAAGAAGAAAGTGGCATGGCGATCAGCACCACCACAAGGACAACTACTTTAAAGAGGGAACAGGTGTGGTGTATACTACTGTTGTCATCAGATATAAGTAATATATATAATACCGATCAGAAGTCGAATGCCTATCAAAAGTAAGTTGACTAGATTGAAATAGAATCATAAAAGATGTAAAATACAATGGATTAAATATCTTCAAATAACATATTTAATAACAAATAACTCGGATTGTCTTCAGCTTAGTGATTATTCACTGTCATAGTTTTTCATAACATTAACATAATTTTTAAAAGAAACAAAAAAGGGTTCACATTACAACTTACCATCACCAAACATACTCCCAGCGCCTATAAGAGATGTGTTGATAATAACATTGTAAGAAATAAGATAGACTTTTATAAAATCTTTACTAGATGAAGTTCTATATGATAATATACTAGCTCAATACATTCTCTATTGTTAAACATACATAGTTGAAACAGATCATAAGATTGATCTTAACTTCACTTCAGTGATGTTGTACAAAAGTGTGAAACGAAGGATCTATTGAAGTTTTAACCATACGAACATTGAAATCCCACCCCCCCCGGTTTTTTGTGTATTTTAAAAATAGTTTTGTTCTCTGAGATGGATGATTTGATCATGGAGATTTCATTCGTTTTCTGAATGTTATCATCATCAGCAGCATAAACTTCATGTAGAAGTGTTCTCAAACATAAACCTATCCTGGTAATATTAGCTTATTATTCAGTGTGATGAGGTTTCACATTCTTTTACTCAATATTTCTAGTTTAGTTAATCTAGTTGATTCCGATTCTATCAGTAAGGACTGATATCAGGTTATATCTTAAATAGTGTCAGTGATTAGTCTAAGATCAATTAATGATGGTAACGATAAAATTATTTAAACAACAAGCTTGACCGAAATGCTGTTTACACTTTACTTCTACTTCTACCTTATATCAGAAAGAACGTTTAGTGGAGATTGTAGTAATTTTATTAGTTGAATTCACGAGCTGAATAAAGCTAGACCACCATGGAAAACCATAAACAATTGAATGAATGTTGCGTTCTAGTACGGAACTCCTAAACAAGAGGTATTTCCTGGAGTTCTAGTGAAAAGCTGTAACCAATGGATTTCAACCAGGTTTCTTGTAAGATAGTAACACACTGAAAACAACAGTGGACAGTGGATTGGTTAGAATCATCGGTTTAATAATCTAGAAGTTAGGTGTTCACATGCTCGAGATCAAAGATCCTCTATTCTAATCCCATGGGCAAAATCATGAATGTGCATTATTGAGAAGTCCCATACTAGAACGTAACAACTATCCGATACTTCCAAGTTTTCCATGATAGTCTTGTTTGAATCAACTCATGAATTTAACTATTAAATAAGAACCAACAATAACTTACTTGTATATTCAATATAAAGACTAAATGATAAGAGAATAGCAAAGATATAAATGAATTTCCAAGTAACAGTGTTCATGTTTTGTATATCTTTGTATATGGGTTTCTTTCCTCTTAGAATCTCCGTGAATCAGTCTACGCTGAGTCTATCGTATGGAAGTTAACAATGAAAGCAAATAACACATTAGAGTTATATATATATATATTATATACTAATCAGTAAGTTGATCTGTACAACAACAACAACAAAAAGACATTAGTAAATCTATTGATCATATGATACTCGGATATGAATGTCATTCAATTGTTGTCAATTCACTGTTTACAATCATAATCATAATAATCATAGTAACAATAAACAAATGGAAGAGAAAGAGAGAGGGGGGTGGGAGGGAGGAGAAAGTAAATCAATTTCAGTTTATCTTTTCTATACTACTAAATTAAGGCAGTTGTTTCTGTCGGTAAAAAAAACGAAAAAAAAAACACAACAACAACTGAAAGATTTTTTTTTCTGAAAAATGTAATGTGATCAGATCAAGCATAATTCACATGGATTTAGTTTTATTTCCAAAAAACAAACACAAAAAAAACCAAAGTATTTTGTATGAATTGTATTGTAACATATTCCTACTCTCTCCCCCTCTCTCCCTCTCCTCCTCCCTCTCTTTCTCTCTCTCTCTCTTAATTTAGATGATCATATGGTGTAGAAATAGTTTTTTTTTTCAAAACTTGATATTGGCGGCCTATTTTGAATATCTGTTGGTTACATGATCTTGGCAACTAGATATTTCAATATGGTTATTAATCGGTTCATTGATTCAATTTGCGTTTCTAAGAAGTGTACAACTTTTCATTGTATAATTTACAAAAGAAGCTCAATCAGAGATATCGTGATTGCTGGTAATATTGATCGAAAAGAGTGTACATTATTCAGATGTCGATTCCTAAATTGGTCACATTCAACTGGTGATTACTCAAATATTTCCCGCTAGGATTGATCAAGAAATAAGAAATGGAAACTCAATGAAACACTTGAATAATAATGATAATTGTGTTGCTTGTATATTCCTATTGTTGTTAAGGCTTATAATTGATCAATCTCTCTCTCTCTATTATAGGCATATGTATATCCTATACAGTTTGCCTTGATATTATTTTAAGTCACAAGCTTTATAAATAAAGATGAATGGTGACTAGTAATGGAACCCAATTTGACACACTTTTCCTTTTATTTGTGACTCGTCAGATGGATATAACTGCATCTCGGAGTTGATCATTCCAGGAATCGAACCAAATACATTACTACATTAAAATGGACTATGCTAAACATAACAGATTAATTTATTCATTGAAGTAAATGATACTGAAAACATACTATGGCGTGAACTATTGATGTCAACAGATATAAGTAGTATACATCATCAAATACATTCGATTGTCCTCATTTGTATTCTCATTCACTACAATACTATAGCTTCAATTGACTCATGATTTCAACTATTGAAATTACTATAATATCCATAAAAAACCCTTCTGATATTAATCAACATATGCTCACTAGTGACTAGCTTCAAGAGGTATTTCCTAGAGTTCTCATGAGAAGCAGTCACCAGTGGAGTTCAACAGTGTCTGCTTTTAGATAGTAACTCATTGAAGACAATGGTGAATGTGTCACTTAATCGCGTGGAATAGTTGCCGGCTGGCTCAATGTTTTGTGGTAAAGCGCTCATGAATGAAACTGATAGGTTCCGGTTTTGAATCTCACGAGGCAAGGTCGTGGATGCTCACTGGCAAGGAGAAGTCCCACAATAAGACGAAATAGCCATTCAGTGCTTCCAGTTTTTTATGGTTGTCTACCTTGAATTGACTCATGATTTCAACCATTGAAATTATATCTATATTTGTCCAGTAATTAGATAATCACGTTACAATTATATCAGTACTATATTTAGTAATCTTGTTTACATGACAATCCATCAACAAAATGATTGTTTATTTGGATCCACAAAAAGATCCATGTGATTTTCTCCTTTGAAATAAAAGTTGTTTTGAGCGAAATTCAAAGTCGAATACGTTACAGGAATCTTTACTGATTTCTTCATTGTTATTCTTCTTTTTTTTGTTGTTTACTCTTTTTTTTATAGTTTTTTTTTGTTTGTTTAAATTTATAGTTTGATTTATACTGGTTACAACTAAATGAAATGCCGATTTCTGCAATTAATTGTATAAATGAACTACCATGACAATGGTTTGGATTATTTTTCTGGTAAGCGTTTTTTTAGCGAGTTAGTTTTCTACGGGATGTGGAGGCTAACCCCATGCCCAACCCTCCTCCTTTACCCAGGCTTGGGACCGGCAGTAACCCTATAAGAGCTATAGGCGATTTCTGCAATTATTTGTATAAATGAACTATCATAACAACTTTAAACAAATAAGATTATCGATAGTTCAGTTCATGAGTCGATTGAAACTAGACCATCATGGAAAACCTGGAAGCATTGAACAACCGGTTCGTCCTATTGTGTGACTCCTCCTCAGTAGTGCGTATTCATGAAGCCATGTCGCAAGATTCGAACCCAAGATCGATTAGTCTATTAATGACAGTCTCCCACGATCACAGACATTTTCGGCTAGACCTTGTACGAATGTTATTCCCTATTTTGCAGTGTGATGTGGTCTGTTTGATTTGTATATAAACTCGATATGTTTGAAATACATGATTCATATCGCGGAGGCTGACATTGGTGTACTGAACTTAACAGGCAGGGATAGGTAGGAAGCAGGACTGATAAAGGCTTTAAACTGCTCGTATGAGTTTATGTGTCAATAATGCGGTCGATAAATCATTGTTCTTTTATTGGTGGTATCATTAAGTTATATATTGATAGGAGACAAGGCCACAAGATATAACAGAGATAAGTTTTGTATTGAATTAAATGTGTAATCCAATTTTTTGATAAGATTATCTTTATAGAAATTTAATTGTACGTTTCCTCTTTTTGATTGAGATCATGAATCGATCGATACCAGACCACCATTGAAATCTCAGATGCATTGGACGGCCGTTTCGTTCGAATATGAAACTCCTCCATCCACGATCCGGAACGCAGAGCTCGAACCTAAAATCTTCGGTCTTGCGCGCAAATGCTCAACATCTATATCACTAAACCGGCATTTAACTCTTTCTTTTCTCAATTAAGGTATATAATTAATGAAGACCGGTAAACATTAGATTGATGTTTTGTTCAGATATACAATATCCTAGTAGTAAACATTCACAGCTCCTACAAGAACGCAACCTAGAACTCTCAAACTTCTCAAATAGGTAGTTAACTTTATTTAAAGTATCATAACTTGCACACAATTGACACCTTTTAACTGAACAATATTTCTATGAAGACTGTAAAACTAAGTATTTATTCTAACAATATATGGAATGTAAATTCATTTAGTAACTGACAAAAAACGGGGAAGATGGATATGATGAATGGATTGATTTTAAACCACCATAGAATACCTAGAATCACTGGACGGTCGTTTCGTCCCACTACGGGACTCCTCAACAGTGTGCACCTACGATCCTGTATGCAGAACTCGAACTCAGGATCTTCGATCTCACATGTGAACGCTTAACCCCTAAACCACTGAACCAGCATCCAACGGTGTTAATATCTAAATAAAATCGGCAGAATATTTTAAAAAATACACCCATAGATTTATATACTCCTTATTTCAATAAGTAGTAGTATACGATTGACCAAATATATGTATATGCTGTTTTTGATTATTTCTTTATTTATTACATCATTTTGGAAACTAAACTAAGTATTACATAAATTCACTTGATGTTGTTTACTTGTATCTTCCCATTCTTATTTAGGACTACAATTGATCAATCTGTCTCTCTTATAAGCATATGTTCATATTGTGAGTAATGCCTCAATATTGTCTCAATTCACAAGCATTCTAAGCAAAGATGGATAGTTGTTGACAATGGAATCCAGAACACACGTTTCGTCCTATTTGAGACTCGTCAACTGAATATATACCTACATCACAGAGTTGATCTTCAATCTAAGACTCGAATCCGGTATCGTTCACTTCAAACACCATCACTTTTTTCCCACTTATCTATTGAGTCCTAACATATGTGTTATATATATGCTAAGCTCACTTATAATTGTATAAGCTAGAATTGTGCCTAAAGTTAAGCAATGAACAATCCATTCACTCATACATCTTCAATGAAATTATAATTAGAAACTAATTGTGTTTTTCCTATATTCTTACATACTATTTATATCTCAATCAATTCCAGTGATAAATAACCAAAATGAAACTACTATTCTTATATTCATATATGAAATAAGAGTAGGTGGATGAAATATGAAGATTGTGTTGATGATGTCGTTCAGAAGATGAATAAAGTAAACATGTTGAAAGTAGTTTATAAGTAGTATATTTCCATTGTGATAATTTATACGATACAAATGGCTTTTTAATAATATTATTAGTTTAAAATTCATTTGGTGTTGTTTACTTCTATCTTCCTATTCTTCTTTAGGACTGTGATTGATCAGTCTCTTATAGGCATACGCGCATATTGTGAGTATTGCCTCGATATTGCCTTAATTCACAAGCTTTATAAGCAAAGATGGATACTGGTTAGCAGTGGAATCTAGGATACATGTTTCGTTTTATTTGAAAATTGTTAGCAGGATATACCCACATGTGTTGATGTTCACTTTTGGACTCGAACTCAGTACCATTCACTTTAAACTGCATCGCATTATCTACTTAGCTTCTGAATCCTGATAGCCACTTACTTGTGCAATGGGGTGAAGTTGAAATTCACTTGATGTTATTTACTTGAATCTTCCCATTGATCTTTAGGACTGCAATTGATCAATCTCTTATTTGTATATGTGCATATTGTGCTCATTGTCTCGATATTGCCTTAATTCACAAATTTCATAAACAAAGATGCATGTACATTGAGCTGACGAATCCCAAATAGGACAAAAAGCACATCCTGGATTCCAGTGCTAACCACTATCCATCTTTGCTTAGAATACTTGTGAATTAGGGCAGTATCGAGGTAATCCCTACTGGATGCACATATGCCAATAAGAGAGGGAGACTGATCAATTGCAGTCCTCAGCATAAATAAGAAGATTCAACCAAACAATACAAAATTGAATCAAAGTATTTTCAACTGACATAAATAAAAAATATGATGAATTGGCGAAATGAGTCAGATCCATCCCCTTCCATCCCTATGGGTCCAGTTGGTACTTGTGAATACTAACT